AAAAAAACAAAAAAGAGAAGGTCAGCTCCATCAATATGGAAGAAGGAATACAGTTGCTATTCTTATATCGCCATGTTCTAACTCCTGTTGTTATTAAGTGCTGTGGAGTCAGTTCGGACTCATAGCAACCCTGTATAGGGTTTCTGCGGAGCAGCTGGTGAGTTTGAAGTACTGACCTTGTGGTTAGTAGTCCAGATCTTATCCTATAACACCACATCAGAACTCCTTAGACTGCTGTGGTGGAAACGCGTTCAGACACCAGTGACGAAGAGGGTTCTTGAGCAGCTTGCTCACCCATCTCCAAAGATCATGTTCATTAATAATTGCAAATCAGTTAGATACAGAAGGAACGATGTTTATAGGGACAGTCCGGGACAGTGAAGAAGACCCCGGGAGCCACACCCAAGCCACAGTGTCCAAGAGCACATCTGCCCCAGGCAGGGAGACCTGGTGAGATTTCCCCAGTGGGACTTCAGAGACGAAACAGAGCAGAGGGGGTGGATGGCAGAGGCCTGTGGCTATTTGATGGCAGATGAGGGTGGGGAATCCAGGATCCCTCTGCTGGTGAGAGCCCTGGCCTGGGGCTGCACGCCAGCGGTGACCCGGAGTCTCCAAGCCCCTCATGGTGTGTGAGAGATGCATCCGGAGCAGAGTCCCACCAGGAAGGGCCAAGGGCGCCGCACTCATGGGAGAATGGTGTTTGCGCAGGAGGCTGCGGAAGAGAAACCAGACTGAGGGCCAGGCTGCTCCCAGGCCGCGTCCACCCAGAGTTCTCCACACAGTCCCAGTCCTCCAGCCTGGCCACGTGCCACCTGTTGAGGGATGCTGCATGAATGGGGAGGGGCTCTGTCTCACATCCTGCAGGCTCTGAGACGTGGTCAGCCCCACACACAGAGCACAAGGCGGAGGAGCAGTGACAGAAAGGAAGCTCCACCCTTGTTCAGGGTGACTTGTGATCCTGACAAGTGGAGAGATGGGTGGGCGGTGGCTGGGAAGAGCGAGTCCTAAGTCCCACGAACCGTCTTTCGGAAGGATAGTTGTGGTCTCCAGAAGTTCCAGAGCTTCAGCTACGTCCACGAAGTCCCTGATACTCAGGAAGCTGCTCATGGTCTGCCGGCCTGAGTGGGGCGGAGCAGTCAGCCCAGGCCCCCACCCCACAACCACCCAAGTGCCCTGAGCTTGGGGGACCGAGAAGCAAAGGGTTCTGCCAAGGATAGGGTTACACTGCAGGTCAGCCCTTGACCCTGACCCTGTCCCAGGCTGGAGAGCAGTCCCTGACCACTGGGCATCCTCCCTTCTGGCCCACCCCTCAGCCCAGTGCTTCCAGTCTACTGGCCCCATCCCCTGCACGGGGAGCCCCCAGCCCAACACACTCTGGAAGGAGTCCCCCCCCTTCTCCTGTGTGGAGGTCTCCCCTCCTGCCTCCCACTAAGGCTGCCCATCCCCCACTCCACGCAGGCCATCTAGTCTGGAGGTGGACTGGTGCCCCAGCCCCATCACTGAGTCATCACCCCCTCCGTCCCGCGGTCTGCTGTAGCCCCCTCCCCACCAATCTATCCCTCCCCACTGCCCTGCACAGCTGCCTGCCCACCACGCACTGAAGAGCAGCAGGTTCCTGTATTCACGGCCAGCCCGGCCCACCCGCACGGACACCACACCGTAGCTGTAGTCAGTGGACAGCACTTGGAAGGCTTTGACGCCTCTCACTGGAAGACAAGAGACAAACAACACCCCCAGCCCGTGCCCACAGCCCATGCCCACTCACTACTGCTCCTCAGTGCCCTTGTCCAGGTTCTGAGCCCAAAGCCCTGCCTGAGGCCAGCATGGACATTCAGGGGCTGGCTAACCCTCCATCTCCTGCATCACAGTCCATGGGGACAAGGCCTGGGACAAAGGTCATTCTAACCTCCTGCCACGCTTTCTCAGGGATGAAGGGGTGGCGTTGGGTGTTTGCTAGGGGCACCTTGTGGCCATGGGAGCATGGAGCCTGCCCACCACCCCTCCACACCCTCTGCCCGGCACTCACAGGTGTTCCTGAACACAGCCTTCTTGTTGTCCTTCCGCAGAGTGACCTTGAGCGTCTGGCAGCCCTGTGACCTGAGCAGAGCCCTTGTGAATAGCCAGCCTGTGAGCCCTGCATGGAGACCACCTCTCCTGGACCTGCCCCTCAGCTCCCCCCTCACCCCCATCTCTGTTCAAGGCTCTGCTCGGGGGCCCACCCACAGCTCGAGGGACCGCTAAACATTCTCCCAAACCCTGCCTAGCAGGTGCTCACCACCCTGCCTTGTCCTAAAGCACCTCTGAATTTTAGGGCAAAGGGGGGCCAGAGAAGGGCAATCCCTGTGGAATGTCCAGGTTGAGTCCACAGGCCTGGCCCCCCACTACTCCTTTCCCCTCCAGCTGGGAGTCCCGAGAAAGGAAGTCACCTGACCGTCTATAGAGGGGTCTGCGAGGACCAGCGGGGTCTGCTCACCTACTGAAGGCAATGACCACCTTCAGCTGAGCTGTATTGTGGACCTCCACCAGGGACGCCCCCAATTTCCTTTTGTCTCTGCTCGGCAGGAAGCCCTTGGCATCAGTGGCGATGGCAAGAATATACCAGAACCCTGAAAACTGAGCACGAATTTTACTGTGGGTGCTACTACTTCCTACCCAGGACTCCCAGGCGGGATGCAGCACCAACAGGTACAGCCCCAACCCGCATATCCGACTGGCCGGGCTCCCAAGTGGGATGGAGCACCGACAGGCAAAGCCCAAACCCACATATCAGACTGTCCGAGGTGCTGTGGATAAAAAGTCCAATAGTCCTGGAGCCTCAGCCCAGCTGGGGTGGGCAGTAGACAGGATGGGTTTCAGGCTCTGGTTTCCGAACCGTTCTCATCTCCCTGGGCTCCGAGGACAGAGAAAGGCCATCTGCACCCTTAGTCCAGTTCCCACACAGCAGATGGTCTGGGCCAATTCTCAATGCTCAGCTGAGTGTGGCAAGTGTGGAGGGGCACATGGTGTGATCATGGATGGGCCACAAGGTGAGGACTGCCACCCCTCTGGAGTCCTTGGCTCTTCTGCTAAGGACCTCCCCAGACAAAGGACTGCCTGCCCCTCCCTCTAAGCTGCTCCCATCTGTTCTTCCTGTGCGGCCCCCAGGACCCACCACACCTGGCCAGCAGCGCTCCAAGACTTGATCACCTGCATCCTGGCACCTGCCCACATCCACCCACACTCTCTGCCTGACCAGCCTGTCCTCACTAGCCCAGAACAGGCCCTGCTTGTTCCGCTCGCCTCTGCCCAGGCAGCCCCACAAGCCAGTCCACACCCCCACTCCAGTTGAGAGGTGAGGTGTGCAGCTGTGACTGGTCCTTCACAGCCAGACAGGTAACTCTGGGAGAAACCCTGCAAGACTGAAGGGGGTGAGGGACACTGCCTCTGTCCTTCCCTCCTGCCCTGCGTGTCCCTCCCACCTGGTGTGGGTGCCAGGGCTCATGGGATACCTTGCTCCAGTTGATGTTGTGGGATTCCTTGGGGAGCATCTCCTGTGCCTGGGATGAGGCAGCCAGCACCAGGACCAGGAACAAGGAGGGCAGTCTGGGCCTCATCCTTTCAAACCGACTGCAGCTGCAGTCCCAAGATACTGGACACTGTTAATTGCCACTGGCCCTGCCATGCCAAGCCTGCGGTGGGCACTGGCCAATCCTGAAGCTGCATTCCAGCTAGGGTGGGGCGGTAGGCAGGTCAGGTTTCAGGCTCTGGTTCCAGCTCCTTTCTCACCTCCCTGGGCACCTGCTGCACCCCCTCCTCGGTGCATACTCCCTATGGGAGCACCTTAAAGACCAATGGTGTTTTCGATGCCATACTGAACTCCTCACCAGCCTCAGAAGCTCTGGAACCCAAACCCCCAGGTAGCGTAGTGGATTAGAGACTGGGCTGCTAACCACAGGTCAACAGTTCAAATCCACCAGCCAGTCCATGGAAGAACGATGGGTCTTTCTGCTCCCACCAAGATTTACAGCCTTGGAAACCCTATACAGGGTTGGTATGAGTCAGAACCTCTCGACAGCACACAGAAGCAGTAGTAGGTAACTAAAACCTAGCAAAGGGCTTCAAAATATCTGTCAACATTTTTAATTAAAAGATAATGAGGGCTCTGAGGATCAGACTCTAGCCACCTAGTAGACATAGCAAACTGTCCCTCATCTGATTATTCAGTAATGCTTGTTAGTAATCTCATACATGA